AGCAACTGATGGCAGTCGGTTTGGGGTTTTTGAGTATTTACTGTAAGTGGGGAGGAGTGATTATTGAACATAGTGCCAAGAAAACTGCCTCCCAACTGGGCAGAAGAGAAATTTCTGATTCTTATCCCTCGACCTTAAGAATTCTTGGTGCTGCAAACGGTTAAGCACCTGGCAGCTGACTAAACTGCTGGGGGTTTGAATTTAACCAGTGACTTTGCAAGAGAAAGCCCCCAAACACCCTGCTCACAGCCTAAAACTGTCTATGTTAATTTGGGATTAAACAATCTTGCCAAGCCCTAATTGAAAGAACCCATGATGAATGGCAGAAACAATGCCAACACCATGGCCACTTCAGTTGGTTCACCTTTTGAACCATTCGGCAGGGAAAATTAAAGCTGAGCACCCTTTCTGCTCAATGAGTGCCAGGACTGTTGTAACGCCCAGGTCAGCAGCAGACAAGAGCATAACTCGTCAACGGAGGTGTGAGACAAGAGGGACCAAGATCCTGAAGCATTTCTCCAAAGAATTCTAACAGGCAATGAGATGAAACATGGCCTGACCAATATGATCTTGAAGACAAATCACAATAAGAGAAATGGCTACAAAGGGAAGGAAGGGGTCCAATCAAACTAAAAGTGCAGTGGTCAAGACAAGGCTTTCTAAAAGCTCCCATAAAGATGTTGGGGGAGTGGTTGCCCCATTTGGTCTCTCTGAATCAGGGTGAGCTCCATGGCAGTGAGTACTGGTGGTAGTAGTAATCTCAAACAAGCAATAAAGGGCACTCACTTTTCTTTAGTTAATAGTGTTTTAAAAAATTGAATTAACATGGTTAAATTCCTAGGACCCTCAGTTCTGAAAAGGATGGCCTCAATGACTGGTATTATCACTTACAAGAGTGTCTTGACCTAGGTAGAATTTATATTGAGAAATAAAGTTTATATTTTTAATCATGATCTAAAAAAAGAAAAAGGAAAAAAAAAGATTACAGCTAAGAAAATCCTATCAGTCAGTTCTGTCAGATTGAGTAAGAGTTGGATTTTTCTTGATGGTACACCCTGTCTTAAACAAAAGATATGTGTGCATATTAAAATAATCAAATGTAAACATAAAACATATTGTAGGGGGAAAGATGACGATGTTTATACTTTTGAAGAGGAGAAAGACTGTCCAGGCATGTCAACAAAGTCAGAGCCCAAAACAATGTTCAACTAGATTTGTGATTCCAGAATCCCTAGAAGGTTTAAAACACATTTAAACACACATGAAAGAAGTGAGAAGATATTTGCAGCCCACAGACCAGGAAAATAACCTGAATGGCAGAATGCTCACCTGAAAGACAGGCAGCATAGGGTTAAGAACATGAGCTTCAGTATTAGAAAAGTCTGAGCTATCATACTTGATATATATATACATATATACACACATATATATTAAGCACAATGTTAGCTTTTGTCTGATTAAAAAAGACCTTTTACAAATATACTTTTACATGAAAAATAAATAGTCCAGTTCTGACATCAGCAAAAAAAATCTTTTAAAGATAAATTGGACTTCATCATAACAAAAAATACTTGTGTGCATCAAAAGGTATTACCAAGAAAGTGAAAAAATGGGAGGGTGGAGGGGAAGGTGAGGGAGAAAGGGGGAACAGATTACAAGGATCTACATATAACCTCCTCCCTGGGAGACTGACAGCGGAGAAGTGGGTGAAGGGAGATGTCGGATGGTGTATAAGATATGACAAAATAATAATTTATAAATTACCAAGGTTCATGGGGCAGCGGGGAGCAAGGAGGGAGGGAAAAAATGAGCTGATACCAAGGGCTCAAGTAGAAAGCAAATGTTTTGAGAATGATTAGGGAAACAAATGTACAAAAGTGCTTGACACAATGGATGTATGTGTGGATTGTGAAAAGAGTTGTATAAGCCCACAATAAAATGATTGAATTTTTTTTAAGTGAAAAAAAAACACACAAATTGGGAGAAAACATTTGGAAATCACTTATCTGGTAAGGTTTCAATATCTAAGATATATTTTAAAAATCAAAACCCCAAACCAAAAAAACAAGTAAACAACAGAAAGTCAAACTCAATTTTTAAAAAAAATGAGTACAAAAATTGGAGTATTCATTATGTGAATACTTTAACTATGGACAGTTAACAGTAATTGCTTCCTAAAGCTTAGCATTGTCTTATCTAGATAACAGAATAAAAGCAAGCCAGCTTGATAAGGGTCCTGATGCAGGCTACAGCACAGGCCTTGATAAGGATCCTGATGCAGGCTACAGGACAGGCCTTGTGTTTGCTCCACCATTTGCACATAACTAGCTACCATTTAATAAATATTTAATTTTGCCTCAATGATACAATCTTCAATGTGCTTATCTTAAACGGGGACCACTGTAACTGTTTACAAGATTATTGTGGGGATCAAGTCAAATTAAAAAATAAACACACACTCTATTTTGACATTTTCACAATTGAGGGCATTCAAAGAAGAAAAGGAGGTCGCACAATATCAACATTGTTGAGCTAAGTGTTCAACAGTAAGTTCTTCAATTGAGTATACAATTAGAATATCTCAAAATGGAAAAATAGACCAAGGTTTATTATGTAGTTTTTCTGGGTCAAGTATTTTAACATCTATTAAGTTTTAGATATTAAAATTCCATAGAAGATTAAACCCAAAGCCTGGACTAGTTTACCAATAACATTATCTCTCAAATTTTTCATCAAGTAACCTCAAATTACAAAGGAAAATAAAAACACCCTCCCAGGGACTTTGAGAGACTACCTAAGAGCCTGAGATGTCTAGGAGGCCTTATCCAGCTCTTAAAAATCGATCTTTATATTTCAATTCATTTATTCTACAATATGTGAATGTGTGCTTAAAATCTGTAAAGTGATGTGCCAGTGAAATGATTCAAGAATTCCCACCCTGAAACATAGTTGAGTGACGCTGATCCTCTAAGAAGGTACCTCTTCCAGAGCTATGCCGTTGCTTGAATTCCTGGTGCATAGTCTCTTAAAACTGGATTCTACACTGAAAACATGGACTACTGTGCAAACAGCCCTAAGAAATCTTAAGAAAGATGATGAAAACAATAAGCATTACAGCAACTCAAGATCGGAATAGGGGTTAATTGGATAGCTAGAGTCTGGCTAGTTTCTTAACTCTCCACTGCCAATAAACCAAATCGTCAATACCACCACCTCGACTGAGTTTGACCCAACTGAAGTGCTATCTTGGAATGTAACCAACTCAACACCCAAGGGCTGGCAGCTTTTCTAAGCTTTAGCATGCATTCTTCCTGCGGACAGCAATTATGTGCTTTCCTCTAAGTAGGAAGCACAGAGCAGAGTTCAGCGTACTTCCGAGACAAATACATCCCACTTTGACCAGTTCTGCCCTAGCAAACAACGTGCGTGGCTTCTTACACGCCCTCCCCCGCCCGGCTACCCCACTACTCTGGGTAAGGAGGGTGGATTCCCACTCCTCCGTTTGAATTTTGGCTTCAAGAAAGCCCGCTCAGCTCCCACGTGCGCGTCTTCCGTATGGCGCGCATTTGAACCACGTAGTATTGTTTAATGTGCCAGATCGTTTCTTTCCGTAGATCTTTTCTGAGGGGTATGACTTGCAATATTTAGGGAGATCCTTAAGCTGGGAA